AAAAAAAAAAAAAAAAGAGTGACCAAAGGCAAAAAGGTCCAAAAATTGCCGGAGGGAGGAGTCGAACCTCCGATCTTACGATTATATATCATATGCTTAACCAACTGAGCAACTCCAGCTTATTGCTAGATCTTCGACCAATGTTTATAATAATTTATATACGTCCACCAAAATATTTGATTCAGAAGAAATAAGAAGAAAGGTTGGAATAAGAAAATGAATAACAAGATTGTGGAAATCTTCAATTTTAATGTCAAATTGATCAAAGCCCGAGAAGATGGAAGACCTTTCACGATCAAACCAATTGCATATGAATAATTGAATATACTAAATGAAGTACTCATGGGTTATAGTGTATAATATTTGTTTGAATGTTTTTTTAAACATGATAAAATCTCTCGTGAAATCCTACTCGATGTCCGGAAACATGAAGCAAAAAATTAACTATTAATTTCATCAAGTAGGTAGAAGAGGACATGCTTGAGTTTAATTAGGCTTAACATGCAGAAGCTGAAATCAAACATAGAATATTGACCAAAATAGATATAGTATATCTCAACAACTTCACATTTCTCCTTTAGAAAATTCTGTGAAAAGATTTCACACAAGGTGTGCAAAATCTTAACAAGTTGGAGTCGCCATTTGTTTTGTTATTCGAAGAGGGAGGAACTTAACTTAGTTAAAGGAATTTGACCCACCAATCAGAGAGTTGAGCTGGCCCAAAGGGTTTTAATTGGTTGGTGCATCATATCTTACACAAATCTCATGTTTTAATAAGTTAATTTGTTTTTACTTACCAACACAAATGAGTTGATGTTCAAAATCGTACCCATCATAAAATGCTTATATAAAAAATAAGTGAATTTGTGCAATCTTATATATCTATCAAAACATATTTCAAAATAAGAGGTGAGTGATATAAGATTCTTCAGTACTTTCGACAAAAATGTATTGTCACAGTGAATAATATTAGATATTGAAATGTACAAAATGTACATTCAAATGAAATTTGGTACTATTTGCTATATATAGTATGATTGCTATACATAAGTGTATTCCAATAGAAAAAAACAACAGTTAATTCAATCAATCATGTTCTAAGAAAAAAAATAATTAAAAAGATAAGACCCCATGGGAATGGTGTCGAGAAAGAGACTTCGTGGAGCTTTGTAAACCACTTTTTAGTGCAGCTGATGGAATTAAGGGCATGAGATTTCCAGCTTCGATTCATTAATTATGTTGGCCCTTTTGGCTTCTTTTTCCTTTTTATCTATGTTTTTAGTTCCATGTCTACATGCAATTATCTTTAGTTTATCTTTGCTTTTGTGATTAGACTCGTGTGGGTTTTATTTATGCTTCCCCCACCTTTGTCTTTGCATTACTTCTATATTTTATATCTGTTAATGCAATCGATTGAGTAGTTACTTTCTCTTCTTCCCAACATTTAAAAGTGAGAAAGGAAATTAAATTGAAGGGGATTTTTTTTTTCTTTTTCCCTCTCTTAAATCTCCCAATAATTCTCACTAGCACCACAAATTTTTCTAGCTCGGGTCCATATATAAAAGATACTCAATATATATAAGCCATTTGAATCGTTTAATTATTAATTCTCTTTTGGCCTTTGCTTCGAGATATTTGATCAAATACCAACCATGCCATGATTTAGACGGTGGACAAAATCTTTCAAGTCCATTGCTACATGTGTGTAGAACGAGAAAGAACTTGACCTTTCACCAAAACAAAATTTTGGGTCCCTTTTTAATTATTATTGATTTATCGCCATTCTATACTTGTTCCTCAAGCTTCAAAGCAAATACTTCATTTTTCATCAAGAATTTTCAAGATTATTTATATAAAAGAAATCATATATAGGTCCAAACTTGATCATTTTATTACATTTTGTTGTTTTGGGTTTAGAACCTCAAGTTAAAGTCTTGTGTGTTTAATATCGCGAAATCTGTGGCAGAATCCATGAACTAATTTTTTAATGGGCCATATTTTAGAAGTAATTGTGATTCAGTGAACCAGAAAAAGATTGAAATTTAGGCTTGAGAAATGCCAGCTAAAATCCGTGGTTCGAGATGATATGAAGCATGCACATGAAAACTTATAATAGGATATACAGTAGTATATCTATCCCTGAAAACCTAGAGAAAGTAACACAAAAATACAAAGTTAAGCTTAATTTAAACAATGGTTAAGAGCCCGGATTCTTAATAGAAAATATCATATGTCAATCGGGGTTGGTTAGAATGGTAAAAAAACTTAAATTTGTGGTGGAAGTAGTCTAGATTCGAGGGTCAATAAACAACAAGTCCTTATGATATGTAAATTTGCAAGTGAAAGTCCAATAGATTTATAAATCTCCAGAAGATCAGTTACCGTCTTAGCGATTTAGCCTGTAACCTCATAGATTAGATAACCTATGGCTATATATCTGATTTCTAATATACTTTTAATGACTCAAACAAACAAAAAAGGAAAAGTACCGTAGGGTACATGTAGCTACAAAACTTCAATCATACTCTAAGATCCATAAATATCTATGATTATGAAGAAACTGATCAGATTATTTAATTATAATTAAAATAATTGAGGTTCCACCTTGGCCTTAGTGTGAAGACAGACTTGACTCACGTTGTTCAATTATGGATTTTTCCTCTTGTGTTATTTAAGATTGAATTTTAATTTAGGAATCTTGGCAGTACGTAGTAGCTGCAGGAACCTCGTGCGTACCCCTTTGCTAGCAATTTAGACCATTTTTGTTTGTTTTCGTCAGTTTGATTAAACCTTAATTAAGCTATATATAATTTTGTTAGTAACTTGCTATATATTCCTAGACCTATCTATCTATATATAGATTGGTCGGTGCCCGATACCTTCGTGCGACGAAGCTTCGTCCCTTTCTATTGATGATAAAATTATCATCAATCATATATATCTTTTGATCATAAGCTGACAAAAAATTACTTATCATATACCTTAATATTCCATTTAGTAATTTGTTTTCTTGCAACTTTCCGCGTATAATCAATGAAATGGAAATCATTTTAATTAATTTATCATTTGGAGTCGTAAGTACATGTACCTTTTATAGAAAATACACAAAGCACACGAAAAAAGGAAAATATAATCTAATTATTAACATGAGTATATATATATATATATGGTAATTATTTGATACACCGGCGGTGTAAATTTTGGACTCCACAAGCGGGTTGTGGAGTTGACACATGTCTATTTTTTTAATTAATTAAGTTTTACTTCAGGATCTGCTTGTATAATCTGCTAAACTTCACCGATGGTGTATTGTATAATTTATATATATATATATATATGCATGAGCCATGAAACATTTGAGGCTATTTTTTGTGCATCATTAGCATATATATGCTGTATGCATGAAATTATTGATAAATATTTGAGCAAAAAAATGGTTTTTTTTTGTTGAAAAGGTGCAATAGAATAAAAAAAAATGTTAAGAATTTGCAACTGAATTGTTAGCTAAAAAAATGATGTTAGAGATTAATCAATGGAAACTTGAGATTATGGTATGTTATTATTAGTAATTAGTACTAGTATAGTATTTAATTAGTTATTAGTCATGTTAATTAGGTTCTCCTACGGCGGTTCTTACGCTAATTATGGTACGGGGACCGTGGTACTTAATTAGCAAGTAGCAATAAGTTACATACTTTTGATCATTAATGAAAGCCATAAAAAATAAACTCAGAACCTGAAAACATCGATTTTGATGTGGCATGTTGTCATAATTTATTTGCTAATTACTTACAAAGTTTGTAAGTGGAGTATATATATATATTTCTATATATAGTACGGTAACTTGTAGAAGTACTATTCATTAATTACAGAAAAGAAACTTTAATTAGAGTTAACATACTATATATAGCAGTATTATAATAATAATTCATCGATTAGAGTTACTAACATATACTACAAATTCTTAATTTCCTATAAAAAGGAAATTAAAAGAAGAAAGGAAAATAATGAATCATTGCAGTCCAATCAGAAAGGAGCTGGCTAGCCAAGCCAAGTTCATGGAGGGGTCGGAAACAACTCTCTCAAGGGCCCATGTGTTCTTGGCCAGACTGGTCCAATGATTCATTCATGGCCGTGACCGTACCTCACCGCCGGTGATCTAATCAATACCCATAGAAATATAGATATTAATACATGTATTGTACTCTTGAATTTTTTTCATTCCGTACCTAATCAACTTTAATTCAGTCCAAAGCCAATTATTTTAATAGAAAAAAAAGGACTATAGAAATTTGTTCCTTTCCATCCTCTGCCTATATTCGCGATAACTCGTCATGGGGCATGTTGGTGTAGGTCCCATCACCCCTATTAGTTACTATTTTATTCACTTAATTTTCGTAAGATTTTGCACCCAAGTTGTTAGTTCAACCGGTAGTTGCACCGTGCCTGAACTGTAAGATCCTAGTTCAAGTCTCACGAAATGTGAGTTTAACTTATAATTTGTTTATTTATTTATTTGGTAGATAGATGGTTTATTTATGGTAGTTTCTTAATTTGAGTTGATTTCTCATTTAAATATTTGGACATATAAAAATTTATTCAGATTATAATGAGATTTCACATGTACTACCTCAAAAAAAAAGTTTCTTAAAATTTTACTTAATCTCCACTTAATCCACCCTTTGCTTTCCCAATAAACCCTCTTAGTACTTCAACATTTTTTTAATCATTTTTCGTCAATTATCATCTTTGTCATTTTGCATTCTTGTTTCTTTTTTCTTTGGTATAGAGTTATACTCATTTGATATTATATTACAAATCTCAACAATTTAGAGGTGAGTTGCGCATCGAATTGAATTATAAATTAAATGACGAAACCTCTCTTAATGCCTATTTATAACTCACAAGACTCGATGAGATTACATTGTTGTTGTTGTTTTTAGACTAATTGGTCTAATCATACTCCATCAAGAAGTAAATTGGAATATATAATATATAATATAAATTGATATATATTAGTTATTATATGAATGAAAGTAGTGTGAGTGAAGGTAACTTTGTTTAATTATACAAAAAATTAATAGGAGTAAACAATTGGATTAAACCGATGAAGACACGT